GGACTGTGATCGCTTTGAAACGCCTGAAGAAAATAGCGCGCGGAATCGCCAAATCAAAACTTAGTTTGAAGTGTCTGCAGTCGGAGCGCTCTAACTGTTATTGCTCTGTTGCCCACGCCAGATGTAAAAAATGCGACGGGGAGCATTATGTTTAAATTTTTTCCAGATCATTGAAGTTTTCTGAAGCACTGCCAGTAATATTGAATTTGCTAAGCAATAAGTGAAATGGCAGCATGAAGCGGGATATTCCAAAAACGTATAAAGAGATTTTCCCGTGTAATCCGATGGTACCAGATAAGGAGAAAAGTGCTTCTCTTTCTTGACCGCGGAAGTCAAAAGTCTCATATATAGGAAGAGTGAGGCGAACTGTTTGGAATTAGAAGAATCTTCTCCTACCACATCTCGCATGGCAGTGCTTGGACCAAACACTCCTCAAAGGTTTCTTACTTTGAAGGAATAGAACTGCGCGGAAATTGTCTAAAGAGAATTACCTCGAATACGATGGAATATATAACCCAGGACCTACAGGTGATCAGGAAAGAAGAGACTGAGATAAGGTGCTTTAAGAATCCTTTGGTCTTCACGCATAAGAGGGTTTATGGCCGTAAACGCTTCTAAGTGGAGCATACTACTGCTCTGAATTTTTGACTTCCATTGAACTAGTAAAGAGTGTATCTTATCTGTAACACACAACCGTGGGGCCGGTTGCAGCGGTAGTGGTACTGTAGAATAACAAAAGTGTCTCGAGGAGAATAGCTATTCATATTTAGATGTAGATGAGTTCTGAAAAATTACATCGGCATTGGAGATTGTCCTTCGCAAAAGAGTGATTTGGTGGCTATGAAGCAATTCAGTTATTCTTTATACAGAAGTGAAGGCAGCAGCTAGTTGGTCGCGTGGCCGTGGAAAGAAACAGCGGTTTCCTTAACAAGATCATATAGCGCATGTTTCGGACGACTGCAGAGCGTATATGATGAAGTTTTCAAGGACCAACTGAAAGCAGAAGTTATGAAGGTAACACCACCACCGAAACAGAATACTCCACCTTTCACTACCTCACCTTCCAGTGATTCCACTTAAAAAGAATACTACTAAGCTGACAGTAATTTTTGACGACAGTTTCAATAAAAAATGAGAGTTTTTTAAATGATTCTTTGTACAAAGGACCAGCAGTACTGCCAGAACTGATAAGCATTTTGCTCCGCTTTTGATTTCGTAGATTCATCACATTGGCAGACGTAGAAAAAGCTTTTTTGCGGATTGAACTGAAGTACGCAGACCCTGATTTAGTTAGATTCCTATGAGTAAAAAGCATTAAATGGCCCACAGAAGCAAATAGTACAGTCACATATCGATTCATTAAGGTACCATTTGCCATTGCGTCATGCCCGTTCTTACTAGCGACGGTTTGACATCGCCATTTAAAATCTTTAAACTCTGAGTCAGTTTCAGGAAAATTTGAGAATTTACATTTTGACAATTTTTCTTGACTGCAGAAAATGTTCAAGAGAAGAGCCTGATTCGTGGTATGGGGAAGTTAAGTCGATAATTGCAAGCGCGAAAACGAACAGAGAATTCACATCAAGTAGTGCAAAGGCTGAAAACGTTAATGACAGTGACTGTTCGCGAGATGAGACGATTGAGGTGTTCGGAATTCCTTGTATAGAGGAGAACGGAACAAATCTTAGAGCCCCTGCATGAATTACAAAAC